AGGCTGTTACGGATCCTTATCATGTACAAATGGTTCGAGAGGTTTGTGAAGCTTTTAGGAAAAATGTGAAACCAAAACTACATCTCTTGCCCAAGCAAATCATTCACGGCGACGCAAATTACTCCAAGCTTATCTTTCCTCCAAGCAGTAATGTTTCTACACCATACTCTGTGCAAGATATTGGTTTCATAGACTTTGGAGACCTTAACTACAGTTGTAAAGTATTTGACATCGCCATTTCCCTGATGTACATTTTGAACGTTGAAGAGGTTTTCAACTGCGAGCGAACTCAAATGGCGGGACATTTCTTAGCAGGATATCATTCGATGCATCCCTTATCTAGCGAGGAGTTGGAGGTCTTGCCTGTACTGGTAGCGTCAAGGTTTTGTCAGTCATTGGTATTTGGCGCTTATATCAGCAAGCACGTTGATCATGGAAATGAATATATCTTGGAAACTGCCAAGAACGGGTGGAAAAATTTTGAAGAATTTTGGAAGACACCAACGGAGGGGGTGCTCCAGTTATGGTTGGATATGAGGGAAAACACACGAAAAAATTAAAATTGACTTTGAGAGTATCGGTGTGGAGAAAATGACAAAGAATATTAACACGAGTTTCACTAAAGGTCATGATTATCACCATGATTTTAACAGTCAAGTAGTTTCATCTGTTATTTGATTTTAATTTTTAGAGCCGCTTTCAAATGACTGTCGAAAGTAATATTGGATTACAATGGTTTTAATAGGTGTTGCTTCAGCTCCCTCAGTAATTGGTCCAGAAAGCTCGCGCAAAACCTGAACCAATCGTGACTTGATCGCCTGCGTTTTCCCGCGTTTTCCCGCGCTTTGGGCAGTTTGCTTGGTTTTCCTTTGAGTTCTCATTGGCTCTTTATGATATTTTCCTTTCTTTTGACCGGCCGTTGTGATTACTTTGGTTTTAGATTTCCGAGACTTAATCGAAGAGTGCGGTGGATTAATCAAGTGGAAAAGATTTTATTGGTATAAAGATTATTCATTTTTGCTTGGTGTAGCTCTAATTTCTCTGTAACTCTTAATATTCCTTGGCTGATAATCATCATCATCGTCATCATCATCACCACTATTATTATTTTTATCATTTTATACTAAATAAAATATTTCTTTCCATGAAGAACGTATATTAGATCATTAAATGCAATTAGGAATCTCCGTAGTATTCGCTCAAAATTAAAGATTGGATGAGGGTGATTTACAAGGGGTCTTGATAAACACCTCATTCTTGTGTTATTCCCTCCAAGTTCCTATGGCAAAAAAGCCAAAATATGATCCCCCTCCCTCCCCCCCACCCCATCCGAGAAAACTATGCCAAAGTCATATTCAATTCAATTATACGTACATTATAATAAATTAGGTTATCTTTGCTACCGCTGAGTAGCATAGAGTGATTTTCTTCTCAACGAGCTCGTCTTGCACTTCACTCCTCCAGGACTGTTTTGGACGGCCTAATCTCCTGGATTCTTGGTAGTTTCATTCGTGGGTAGTGCGGATAATACAATTCTCGGCCTTTCCGAACAAATGACCAACCATTTCCATGTTCTTCAATAAGTGCTTTTAGTCTATACGGCTTTGTTGTGTCTCTCGATGTTCAAAACATTTCGTAAACACTTGTCGGTCGGACGACACACCAAAAATATACTAAACTGATATCGAGATCCTTCGGAACGGCTATAAACATAAACTAATCTCGAAATCTTTCGGAACGTTTCTCTAAAACATTCGGCTATAAAACTTTAAAACTATACAATAACTGCTAATTGCAGACAAGATTATTCGATAAAGAGTGTCACTAAGTGTCACTAACCCCCCGGGAGTTACCCCATTGTAGCTCTACTGGGTTCATGTCATGTTTATTCAACTCTGTCGCGATTAAGAATCGACGGGGACCTGGTGGAGCGGACGATCTGTATAGTAAAATAATTGAACTACCAGTGAAGGAAATCGCGGCTTCTAAGCAGTGCTGTCAGCCGCAAAGCTATACTTTACTCAAGTGGCAGCCCCCAAAAAGGTGAGTGTTCGTCAAAACTTTATTCAGATAAAGTAGAACACCTTGAAATGGTTGATTTAAGCAAATCACTTTGGATGCCATCAATTTTGAATGTGATAGTTTTCACTGACACGCATCGAGAGAAAGATATTTAGTGGATAAGGTTAAGATACTGCATTGTTATAGGAGATAGGCTAAGGAAGCACTTCTTCAGGTCTTAGATCTCTTTATTTTCCCAATCTTAAGATATTCGTCAAACTGTTTTGCGCAAATTTAAAGAGCGTAGTTATCTTTGGTCCATCAACATGGCGGTTAGAAAATAGTTTAAAACATCTGGAACTTACTTTGGCTATCTAGCTCAATAATTATCTAAGCTAAACCAGCAAACATGTACTAAAATATTTTCTCTAACACTTAATTTCCTGAAAAGGCTAAAAAACAGCTAGAGAAGTCTATATTTCTTGACAAACGCCGCGATCGGAGCTATATGTCATGCAACCAGCATAACTCCGAACTTCATACTTCGCTGGTTTCCAAACCAAGCACGCTATTGAGCTGAGAATTTGAAAACAGATACGAATTTACACCCCATTATGCCTGATGAGGATAAAAGTTTTCGTGGCCCTTTATTTTGGATTTTCGAATTTGAAGATATCACGCGAAAAATATGCATGTGGAATTGTTGATTTAGCAAATTACTATGGGTGACATCAAGTTTGTATTGCTAATATAGTCCCTCAAGGCGACTCGCTCATATGACATAATCATAGTTCGCCTTCATAACTTTCAGAAGAAGGTAGATGACAAAAAGGTGTGCATTTCTTTAAAATTAGAAAGTTCTTTCAATCTGTAAAAAGGCATGTCTCATATCAACTGAAAACCGGTCCGCGAGAGTGATTTAATTAATTCTAAAAGCAATGATGAAGCATTTCAAAGGTAACTGAATTTTAATAGACCGAGGTCTACTCATACCGACACAGAATGTTACTCTACACCACAAAAAAAGCGTGAAAAAGTAAAGACTAAGAACATTCAAATATTGATAGCGCAACCTGCCTTCCTGTGAAACACGAAAGTCAGAAAAGAATCGAACACAAAAATTACTACGACAAAAATAGGATTTAGCCACAGACATTTCAAAGAATCGACCGTCAAAACCATTGTGTCAAGGACAATTATAGTAAAAATAAATTTAAAAGAACCTTTGTGATAAAGGTTTGTTAAAGAGCTTAGTGAAAAGACTTTGAATACAAAAACCGCGCGGAAGGTGTTTTATGTATGAAGTGTATTTAGGTATGTATGTAGGTATGTATGTATGTATGTATGTATGTATGTATGTCTGTCTGTCTGTCTGTATGTCTGTATGTATGTATGTATGCATGTTAACCTGTTTTTGGAAACAGTAGCTCAGTTTTACAGTTTAACCTCTTTGTGTCTCAATTTTGTCTTCTTGCAGGTCATTTTTTCTTGTCATCTAATAGGAATATGAATAATAATCGTCCTTCGCTTGAACGAACAAAACCGCCAGTCGAGAAACATCAAGCAGCAGTCTTAGCAGCTCAACTCTTCAACCTGCACATCACAGATTTGTCTTTTGTCAAAGAGCTCGATTCTTACGTGGACAGAAATTTCTATATACGGGGATCCTTGAATGGGCCACCAGGATGCCAGGAATACGTTCTCAAAATTTTAAATGACGTAGAAACAAGCCAAGAACACTTTATAGAGCTTCAGTGTAACATGATGTTGTTTCTCCAAGAACGTGGGTACAGATCCTCCACTCCAGTCAACTCCATTCTTAAGACGCCCTTTGTAAAGTGCAAAATCCCCAGAATCTACCCACCTAGCATAGTTAACTCAGAGCCTAATCATGTTTCCATGACAACAGACCGAGATAGTAATGGTATCTCTTTGGAGACTGGTACTAGTCCTCTAAGTGTTAAAAAAAATAGAAATCTCGTTGATGGAATTCATATTTATAACGGCGATGTATATTCTGATGACGAATTCCTGGTGTGTGCTGTTCTCCTTCTGAATTTTGTACCAGGTGAGGTATTGAATAAAATACCGCTAAACACTCATCTGCTGTTCACTGCTGGAAAGGCCGTGGGCAGCCTGGATCAAGATTTAAAGGTAGGCGAAAATAGACGGCTAATCTACATTTCAAATCAATCAATCAATCAATGGCAAACAAACAAACAAACCAAAATTAGGTTCTATTAACCTTTTCAACCATAAGATTGACTAACATTGATTGACCAGCATGGATTGACGAGAAAACGGGAGATTAAGTTGGGATTGGTTTTAGTTGTGCATTTGATTGGTTAAGAGACTGGCGTGTGAGTTTTCTGGACCAATCACTAAGCGAAGTAAAGTAAAAACCAGAGCAATCCAGGATCAAGTTCGATTCTCAATTGAATATCGGTCTATTTATCATTATTGGTATCATTGCTCGTAGTTACATTCGCTGATGTAAGTTTCACTTGCCGTCGCTGTTTTAATTTCATTTACATCATTCTTTATTGAAACAAACAGGATTTTGTCTGTGCTAACCCGAGGCGTCCAGATTTTAGCTGGGACCTGTTGAGAGTTGACGAGACAATTGAGCCTTGCCTTGAAGCTGTGACTGATCCTCATCGTGTACAAATGGTGCGAGAAGTTTGTGAAGCTTTTAGGAAAAATGTGAAACCAAAGTTACATCTCTTACCCATGCAAATCATCCACGGGGATCCAAATTACACCAATCTTGTATTTGCTCCCCATAATAAGCAATGTTCACAATACTCTGTGCAAGATATTGGTTTCATAGACTTTGGACACTCAAACTACAGTTGTAAAGTATTTGATCTCGCTATTCCTCTTATGTACCTCATGAATGTTGAAAGGGCTTTGGCCTGCGGGCGAACTAGAATGGTGGGACATTTCTTTGCGGGATACCACTCAATAAATCCCTTATCTAGCGTGGAGTTGGAGGTCTTGCCCGTGTTAGTAGCGTCAAGGTTTTGTCAGTCATTAGTATTTGGCGCTTATGTGAGCAAGCACGTTGATCCTGGAAATGACTATGTCTTAGAAACAGCCAAAAACGGGTGGAAAGTTTTTGAAGAATTTTGGATGACGCCTAAGGAAGAAATGCTAAAAATATGGATGGAAATAAGTGAAAACACACGAAAAAACCATAATGAACATTGAAAGCGTGGGCGTGAAGAACATACCAATGAAATTTTTTGGTGACTTTTCAGAAAATTTGAGTTATCTTCATGATTTTAACAGCCAATACTTTTTCTACAATCCAGTGCTATTCTTACTGAAATAACAGAGCAATAGCTCAGCTCTTAACACAATAAAATTAATGCAGACTTCATCGGAGTGATCATAATTCACTTATCTTTGTATAAGCTTTTTTCTCTTTAGCCCGTTATAGCAATTCGATAATAAGTAATTCACTCGAAACACCACACTCCGTAGACACCAAAGCGTTTTTATATGTTGCTTAATCCTTGGCAGTTATGGGAGCTTGGGTACAAGCAAACCACTTTCATAGTTTTTCTGTCATCAGCTGTTCCGACTCGCTTCCTACTCACAGGCTATTTATTTTGTTTCCTTTCTTTAATTTTTTTTTCCTTTACCAAAAAAAACTATACATAGTCAGTCGTTAAGTAACGCTCGGGTTTTTAGCTAACAAAGAATACCAAGAACAACAACAACAACAAAAAAAAAGCCTCTCAGTTCAAAAACAGAAAAAATAAATAAATAAAAAGCTTGACAGCAAACCATCTGCTCACACATGAAAAAAAAAAAAAAGTCCTACTGAATTACGTTGTAAATATTGATATTAATGGGTGAAGTAATTAATTAAGACTAGACAATAAATCGACAAAGCCACCTCGTCAGATACAATCAAGTTATCACATTTACTGCATATGCATTGGATATTGCGTGCGGTATGGCATGGAGAAAAAATAACGATGTTAGTAAGTTCACACATTTCGTTTCTTTTGCGGCACTCTGTTTTAACGGAGTTAAGACCTTTTTTTTTTCCTTTATTCATTTTTGAACAGTGACATCTTCAGAAGTTTGCTCTGGAATTGAAGGAGGAAAAAAAAGCGAACTGCTTCCACACGCCCCCCTCCCCATCTTTTCTCGTTTATCATGCGTGTCGTAAAATACTGATTTCTACGTGTTTTGGTAATTTAACAGGAGAAAGTATGATAAGATTAAAATATTTTATACAAAAACGAGACACTTTTGTGCGTTTCCAAGACAATGATAGAAACTAGCCCTTGGGGTGTGTAAAAAAGGCTGTAAACATAATGTAAATGTGTTATTTAAAACGATTCTGGAGCACGTAGAAGTCCTCTTACTGGCATGGAACGTGAATCCTTATCATTAAGTGCTTCTTATCATCATTAACACTATGATTCCGGAAGGAATTCTACACTACCATCAAAACATAATTGATATGCACCAAAACAAAAACAAAACAAAAAAATAGATTACGAAACGCGTAGGAACCTGAGAGGCCTATTTCGATTTAAATGCTTTTTTGAAGTTTTTGCATAATCTGTTCTTCATGCATTTCCGAAAAATAAGTGTTTCTAAAATGAATTGTTGTAAATTAAATCCTACTCATACTAGGGAGAGTTTGTACCCCAAATTTGTCATCTTTTAAATCAGAATTTACTATAAGTGCATCAGAACTGAAAAACGCACTGTGGCTGTTTCGATCCCCTAGGAGTTGGAAAGTTGTTTCAAAATAAATCTTGCAAGCTACATATCCATATGCGCCACTTTCGATGTCTTCTAGGTTTAATTATATTGTAAAAGACAGGCTTTTTTTCAATGTATCGTATACAGTTGCTGATCAACAAGGCAGTAAATATTAGTTGAATTAGAACTGAAAAAGATTACTCTTTTATTACAACTTCTCGATTAATCTTATGTGAGCATGATCTGTATGAAAAAGAAAAGTGAATTCAACCCTTGAGGACATTCTGAATACGTCTCACCAACAACTGCAATTTGGATATCAAGCTCTCAATAAATCACTCGATAGCAATTGGATTTGCTTTTAAATTTACCAAACCACCACTCGACTCAATTTGCTGGTTTCCCAGTGTCTATATTTCGTTATGTCAGGTTTACACAATTTATCGAATAGGCTGTCCATAGCAAACATTTGCTGCACCTGTTTCATGAAAAACGCGGTTTCCGCCTCCCTTCAGATATTTTAATATTTCATCTAAATATAGATAAATAAAAGGCTGATAAAAAGGCAAACTGAACAAGCCTGGAGATAGACAATGTTGCTATAACCGACCCCTTTAAGGAAAAGCTTAGCAGGAAACACAAAGATACAACTGATATGGAGATGTGGCTATAAAACTGACAGGAGAACAATTTGCAAACAGAAGTACTTCGCAGTCTACGGAGGTAACATGGGTCTCAACAATACGAACTCAACCTCGGTGAATGCTGCAGAAGCGACTCTGAATTTGAAACACGGTGCGAAAGCTGCGTTTCTCTACAATGTTTATTTAACAAGAGGTGTTCTCGCCATTACCATGGCAGTAATTACATCTTTCTCAAATGGCCTTGTGATATTTTTGGTACTAATGGATCCAAAGAAATGTCTTCGTTCTTCTCCGACTTGGCTTCTTGTCGCAAGCCTGGCTCTGGTGGATTTCGCCGTCGGCTGCGGCCTGGAGCCTACGGATGCATACTACAGTCTGGCTGTTGCCAATAGAAAGAAGCACAGCTTAGTTCGAAAAGACTTGCAGAGTGCTGCTGCGTTTCTCCTCCTGTCCTCGACGGTTCTGGTGATGCTGATAACTTTTGACCGACACAAAGCAGTATCTCGGCCCATCCAGTACCCTTACAGCATCACAAAGAAAAGAATTACCATCAGCGTGTCGCTAGTTTGGATCTACTGTGCGCTTCTTATATTTGCAATACGCCGCTGGGGAAAAGAACTCAGGAACATTTTATTTTGCGCTCATATCGACTTGGTTGTGTTCATTACCACTGGTATTTTCTGCAGGATTGTCTACCTGCTACGACTACAAACAAGCAAATTAAAACGGCTAAGTGTGAGTTCGGACGACGCTTCTGTAGTTCAAGCGTCGACTCGTGAACGGAAGGTAACTCTCACACTCGCCACTATGCTTGTGGTGTTCTTATTCTGTACCATGCCCTGGTTTATAATGATGCAGATCTATGATAACTGCCCAATTTGCCAGAAACACTGGTGGATCCTGAAGCTGCTTTTTATACTTTTCGAAGCCAACTGCGCCATCAACCCGTTTTTGTGCACGCTCCGTCTGCCGCGCTACAGAGTGGCGTTGCGAATAACTTTGGCGCGGTGGGGGTTTTCAAGCGTGGTTTGTCGATCTTTGCAGCAAGCCAGGCGTGCGTATGTACTCAGGCTAAGAAGTTCCAGCAGTGGAAATCAATCCAGCGGAAAAAAAAAATCTTTAAATTCAAGTATTTCTTTGCCGCCTGTTATGACTCACCATCAACAAAATATTGATAACATTTAAAACTAAACTAAGAAGTACCATTACAGGGTTAGTTTCCAACTATGAAAAAGTGATTGATAATTGTATTTTTCGAGTCCTTGTGTGAAGAAGCAATATCGATTATCAAATGGAAGTTGAGAGCGTTTTTTTCTTTGAAAATTTACATGTTTAGTCTCGGGTGTTTTTCGGGAGTTATTTCCCATGACCAGACCAATTAGAGGAGGTAATATTATGCTGTCAATTTATGAAAAATAGAAATTGATTCATCCCGATTAGATGATGATAGGAAACAAAGTGAGATCATCTTTTCTCAGTGAACTATATTTTATTCAGCTGAGATAAATTAGATATAGAACATACAAATGTTATGTAATAATAATGTTTAAAAAACTTAAATGTCACCTACAAAATAAATCGGTTGTTAACACTAAATAACTAAAACACGAAGAACGGAAGGAAGGAAGGAGGGAAAACTCATAAGCTTCAAAGAGAAAAAGAATGAAATGCTGGCTTTTTTCCACAATAGAAGGAAAGGCGTGTATCAAATGATAGTGCCTTACCCTAACATTTA